TGTGTGTGTGTGTGTGTGTGTGTGTGTGTGTGTGTGTGTGTGTGTGTTTCAGGACTCTGCAGCCGTACTTTGAAGGTCTCTTCCCTCGGGATAATCCCAGAAATACTCGCTTTGCCATCAACTTCTTCACCTCTATCGGACTGGGAGGACTGACGTAAGGAACACATAGAAACATATTGTATACACACACTATACTGTGGCCAGTGTACACTTTGGCCACAAGTCAGAGGATGCTTCAATGTTTGAGCCGTATGTGATTGTTGAACATGTCATTCCTAAACCACAGGTGTTCATCTGCTGCTATAACTGTATCTGCAGGTCTTGAAAAGTCTCAAGGCTTTTAATTTAGTTTCCTCAAAAATATTTTGCATCTATAAATTAAAAGTGTGATTGTGTCGACAGCGGATTGTGCTCTCATAATTGGTAAATGTCAATTTTCAATTGGTAAATGTCAATTCAAGACAATGAATTTAAAGAATGAATCATTTTCCCATCCAGCCACGTCGAAGCACTGTAAAATTATGAATATAATAAATAATTGTAGTTTGTATCGTCAGGTAAAACGGGCATTAAATTGCATCTTAAATTTTAACTTGAACTCTGCAGAAACCCTGTTAGAGCCTTACAGACAGAATGATAGAAAGTTCAACACAAGAACGGAAGAACTTTTGCTTCTCAATGTAATGTTTGATCGATGGTATATTTGTGAAATTGTAATAACATTTTTTTTCAATACTAAATGAATTTGTTAACTTCTGTGTAAACATTGGCGTGAATGTTGTGTATGTACAAACATTTCACACACATAATTCTCTTTCTCAGGGACGAGTTGAGGGAACATTTGAAGAACGCTCCCAAGATGATCATGACTCAGAACCAGGAAGTGGAATCCTCTGACTCCTCCTCTTCATCCTCCTCTTCATCCTCCTCCTCAGACTCCTCCAGCGAATCAGATTCTGACTCCTCCAGCAGCAGCTCAGGTACATCCATGTTTTTTTTTTTTATTAAAAGTGAATCTGATTGCATCTTTTTAATCTGTAAATGACGTGCTGTATTCTTCTTCTGAAAAATCTGAAACAAAAAAAGAGTAATATATATTTTATTTTACCCTCTTGTCCTCCAGACTCAGACAGCAAACACAGAAAGAAGAAGAAGAGAAAAGAACAAAGCGAGGTGAAGAACAACAAGAAGAAGAAAGGGGAGGAGAAGAAGAAGAAGAAGAAGGAAAAACAGTCGGACAAGAAGCAAGTCGGACGCAAGAACGGCGACGACGAGGAGGATGATGACAGCAATGACGAGAAGCAGGCTAAGGACAGGAAAGGCCTTGCACGTGAGGTGGAGGGGCGTGAGCGTGCACGTGAGGTGGAGGGGCGTGAGCGTGCACGTGAGGTGGAGGGGCGTGAGCGTGCACGTGAGGTGGAGGGGCGCGAGCGTGCACGTGAGGTGGAGGGGCGTGAGGTGGAGGGGCGCGAGCGTCCACGTGAGTTGGAGGGGCGCGAGCGTCCACGTGAGTTGGAGGGGCGCGAGCGTCCACGTGAGTTGGAGGGGCGCGAGCGTCCACGTGAGGTGGAGGGGCGCGAGCGTCCACGTGAGGTGGAGGGGCGCGAGCGTCCACGTGAGGTGGAGGGGCGCGAGACTACCCGCCGGAGCAGACGGGACGAAAGGGCCGAGGAGGAGCAGGAGGAGGACAGGAGACGCAAAATGGACTTTCAAGGCCGACAAAGAGAAGGAGAGAGTGAGAGAGAGCAAGGGAGGGAGAGAGAGACTGAGGAGAAGAGAGAGGGCGAGAGAGAGCGAGAGAAGCCGAGGGACAGAGAGAGGAATAAAGAGAACAGAGACAGGAACAGAGAGAGAGAGGAGAGGAGGAGGAGGAGGAGGTAAAACATCAGCGATGGACTGACGGCTGTCATCTCTTGCTTCTTTACCTCATCCCGTCACTCTGGTTCTTTTGGGTTTGGGACCTGTCACTGTCTCTCTTCGCCTGTTTCTCTGTTCCTAATCTGTCTGTCTGTATTTTCTATTATTGATTTTTGCTGTTGATGAAATTTGAAAAAAAAAAAAAAACATTAAAGTTGCTTTAGATGTTTTTTTAAAATCTGTTTCCGGTTCAACTGTTTTCAGCATCCGACCAGTATTCTTATTTCACTGTGCAGTCACTGATCAGCCACTGTCCTCAGTAAAACATCTATATTTTAATATGTTCTACTTATCACCATCACTACTACTGCAGTTTGTAATATTTAATAATAGTGATAGCTATTAATCATGATCTCAATATGAAGCCAAACATTTTTGGTCATCATGCTTTTTATATTCTGAGCAGAATGCTGCAGTGTTTGCTCTTCAGCTCCTCTTCTCCAAAGAACAGACTGAGGATGAGTGTAATGTAGCTCTTTCGATTGCTACGTCCTTTGAATACGTACAATCAAATTATAAATGTGACCAATGTGATTTGGACCAAAAATGTGACACTTTGTGAAAGTTGCTTGTTAGCTTAGGAACTTCCTTTGTACAGAGCTGTGTCTCCTCGTTTCTAGTCTTTATGCTAAGCTACGCTAACGAATAAGCATATTTCTGCAAAATGTCAAACTGTTCCTTTAAGAGAGAAATAAATATATACAGTATATTGGAATACCGGAAAAAGACAAAAAAAACTACAGAAGTAGAGCCAATACATTATCCGCAGTAGAAGAAGGGACCACACTGCAGGAATACAGATGATGCCAATATAAAATCTACAGAGTGAAACTAGTGGAAGCAGCTGCTTAAAATTGTCCAAACGTTTTGTGAAACCAGGTGATACCAGTACCAACGGTAGCACCAACAGGTGAAGACCAGCTGGACCTCTTTGTACCACGGTTATGTAGGCCTACAGGTGTTTCCTGGCTTATACAGGCTCACCTGTTTCAGGTTTCACCACTTGAATAATAAAAAAAACAGTTCAGGTTGCTGAAGGCAGCATTTTTGTTAACGGTAAACATCAGCTCGCGTCGGCACAGAATGTGCTGATGTCGGCAGTGAACATGTTTCATCAACAGAAGCAATGGTGTTTCTGCGGTCCGGCGCGCCCTCACCTCTCACCTGCTTGGTATCTGTGGGCTGACGCATCTGTGGGCTGATGAACAGGTAAACCACTCCATGAGCAGGAAACATCCACCATTATGGATTCTGACAGACGCTCACTCGCCTGTCTGTGACCATCGCCTGTGCGTTTTCCCTGTAAATGTATAATAAAAGATATTTCATTTTATGTAGTCTTTGTAATCTTTGGAAGAGTAGAGACTCAAGTACTGTACGTAAGTAGAATTTTAAAATACTTGTACTCTACCTGAGTAGTTCCATTTTATGCTACTTTATACTGGCACTCTTTATTATTCATACAAAATACAATCAACTAATACATTATTAAATATTTTGGATCAAGACAGCAGTGGTATAAAAAGTAGTTGGAACACTTGCACAATATTGCATCAAAATTATAATCCAGTTATGTATACATCTGAAATGGGCCATTCTGCATGAGTACTTTTACGTTCTTACTTTTTTTTCTTACTTATCTGTGTGGGTTGTGAGTCAAATCCTACTAAACTAAAGTTGTTTTTAGTAACTTCTGACTGTAAACACCTGATTTGCTTTGAACAGTAAGCATAAATACACAGCCAGTCCTTAGCTCTGGTTTAAGGATTTGACTCCATCATTGTCCAAACACACTTGCAATTAATATTTTGTATTATATAGCTTATTTATTTGTTTTTGGGACACCGCTGTTAGCTCATGTAATTAAGCTCCACACAATTACCTGCCTTTGCTACTGAGCCTTTTAGTTTGATTTCAGTCCAGAGGAAGAAGAAGAAGATGCATCTACCTTCTCGTAAATCAACAGAAAACTATTTACTGACGGTAGTTTTAATCAGTGAGGTTAAACAAGCTGCTGCACAGTCAAAGTCAAAAAGTTCAACCAAACCAGCACCTTTAAAACTTGCTGATTAACATGTAATTTCTCTTTTGTGTAACTCTAGCTTCATATTTAGAGTACAAATATTTACATTTAACTTTCGGCAACAAAGAGAGGAAGCATTTTTTATCAAAATGTCAAACTATTCATTTAAGAAGAAGCACTTTTGACTGACACGCTTCACAGGAAGTGGATCAGAAAGTTTGCACCACACTGGAATTTATCAGTTTAAATCAGTGTGTGTGTGTGTGTGTGTGTGTGTGTGTGTGTGTGTGTGTGTGTGCCCACTGTTTTTTATCATCTTTGTGTTTGTGCTGGTGTTACTGGAGAGTCTTCCATCTCTCTCTCTCTCTCTCTCTCTCTCTCTCTCTCTCTCTCTCTGTATCCTTGTACAACCTTGATGTGATGTTCAAGGTGAGGGGGGAAGATGTGATGTATGTATACGCGTGTGTCTGTGCGTGCGTGCAAGTGGGTCGCTGCAGTGCTGGACTGTGATTGGCTGGACGTCCTGAGGAGCAGATGAACTGGATTGGTTTGCAGCAGTAGCAAATGGAGGAACAGATCCACTGGGACCTGTGAGCTGCAAGGTACTCTGGCAAACCACATCAAGGTCCTGAGGGGGGAGGTTGAGGGTAAAGTCAGAGAATTGTGCAGGATCACTGATAAAGATGATCTCAATCTTTTAAATTCTAGTATAGACCCCAAATTTGTCAAACATGTCCGGCTGACTATATCATTTAACAATGTCAACAAAATGATACAAAATATGTGGAATATTTTCATTTGACTCTTTGGGTTTGAATATCTCACTCAATGTAAACGTCATGAAGCTTCAGTGAAGGGGCACAAAATGTCAGTAAACATGTAAACTCTCTTTTAGCTCCGTTTTTGGTCTCTACCAACTCCTGGGGGAAATATGGCTCATTAGCTGAAATGCTTCACTATGTTCACCAGTTGGTCTCCAACTCTGTCACTTGCCGTTTGATGCTGATCAGGTAATAAACAGTAGGTTTTTAAAACTTTTTGCCAAAAAATAAAAAATTCCTGTGAGAGCATTGACAAAGACCTGAAACGGTGATTCTGTAGGCTGTAAAAACAAAAAAAAGGCGCTGAAAGACGCTAAAATGCTCTGTAGAGCTGAGAGGAACTGCAGTGTTGGGGGATAATTATCCTTGGATTCATCACTATGGGAAACATCTTTCTCATAAAAATAAAAAAGTAGTGACATCACTGTTGGGTGTGTTTACAGGGGCAACAAAACACACTTCTGACCACACCCAAACGGGAAACAGGCTTCAAGAAACATTGTTTGATTTGCAGCACTCACTGGGAAATGAAAGGATGAGACTGGCAACAAATCCCATGAAAATACCAAAACCTACGATATGTGTTGCTGTCTGACTTCTCCACCGTGTCTGTGGCTGTTAGAAGACCTAGATTTTTAAAAATAAATAAATAAATAAAGGTTCAGTAATTTCCTAAAATAGCTGGTCACTAGCTTTTAGCAAACGTTACTCAAAAGGATATAGTGCATTTGTTGGGAACTATTTTCAGTGGTGGATTAATACACATTTAGTGAGTATTTCCGGCAGGAAACATGTCACCCAGTGTAACGGTTTGGCTCCCTGATGGGTTTTTTCTACAACAATGGAGCTCTATAGCACAGATGAATAAGACAATACTTATCGACAGATCAATTGATACTTCTTTGTTGGTTTTGGTCTCTTCTTGATATTTGTTGGCAGTGTAAGACAAATACAGAATATCACCAGACTTAACTTCATGTAGCTTTAGACTTATCTTTATGAGAGGTGGCTCTACTTCAGCAGTTTCCCATCATGCTTTGGGTTTGTTGGGATGTTGACAACATTTCTGAGCTTCAGAGAGAGAGAGAGAGAGAGAGAGAGAGAGAGAGAGGCAGGCAGATGTGTGTCTCTCTCAGAGCAGTAGTGTGGAATGTCTCAGCTCTCTGACATCATGTTACTGTCTGTCATCTGGAAATTTCCATATCTCCTAAAAATACGCCATTCACCATCAGTCAAAGATAAAGCAATAAAGAACCAAATTAAATACAATAATTATCCACCATAAACTATCAGTTAATGAGAAGTTTTAAATGGTGTTACTGCAATGTACATACATTGTTTTACATTGTTTGATAGCCAGATAACTAGTTCTATGAGATGCTATTTAATAGATTGATAGGAATATATAAATGCAGGAAATAGCATTTCTATTTTTAAATTCTTTTAAGAAACTCTGACATGAAAAAGGTCAACAATAAATGATAATCTAGAAAATGTTTTGACAAAACCATAGGGCCAGAAAAAAATATCAATGAGTTGCAAACACGTTCGTGACATGAATGAACAATGAATTGTTTCTATGATACTTTAGTTGCAGTTCAGTGGTCATGCATGTATAATATTATTTTGTGTTATAAAATTATTATAATTATTTTTATAATTATTATTTAGTTAGTTTCGGTGGCCCGAAGAATAATTTCCCCTAATTTCTCCCCAAAACATCTGATAAACAGTTTTTCAGATATTGACTTTGTGATTTTCAACAACCAGATAAGAATGATATGATTATTAAAACGCAACATTGGCATCAGTCAAATCTGATCCAACCACAACCACAACCACACAGTCCTGATGAAACAGAGGAGCTGGATTATTGAGAATAATAACTGCACTTTAGTTATGGATATTTAATGTTTAATGTATATGGAATGTAGCTAAGTACAGTATCCTACTTAAGTACAATTTTGAGGTACTTGTACTTTACTTTTTTAACCTGTAGTTATCCTTCCACTCCTCTACATTTCAGAGGGAAATATACATTTATACTCCACTACATCTATTTGACAACTTTAATTAGTAGTTATTTACAGATTCTGATTATTAACACAATATATAATCAAATGATAAATAAGGATCTACTATCATAGATTAAACTACCAAACTGTGTGTCTGAAATATTAAAAGTGCTTCACCTTACCAGCTGGAACATTAAAGTGCTGAACACATTAATGTTTAGATAATTATAATCCAGTAATTTCAAATTTGTATGTAAAGGAACATTTTGCATAATGAGTAGCCTACTTTTACTTTTGGTACATTAAGTATGATGTTAATACTTTTGTACTTTTACTTGAGGTAAAGTATTGAATGCAGGACTTTTACTTACAGAGTATACTATTACACTGTGGTATTGCTACTTTTACTTAAATAAAAAAATCGGAGTATTTTTCCATTGTTTGAAACAGAGTTTTCAGGGGCTTTAAGTGCTAGTTTCAAATCAGGGTGGAGGAAACTGCGAAAAGATCCTTTAACCTGACACCTTATGACGTCATGAACAGGTGAGTTGACAGTAAATACAGAGAGAGAGAGAGAGAGAGAGACGGGTAGACACTACCGAGCACTGCTGAGATAAATGCATGTGCTGCAGCCAGTATTTACAGTATTTATCCGCCTGCTTTCAGACGTTTTTTCCTTTAAAGATTCATCCAATTTTTATTTTTATTGGATGCAATTTAATCCTGTGTCTCTCTCCCCTCTCGCTCCCTTTTGAGCGTGGCGCATGCGCAGTCCCACCACTCTGCTCTCGGTGCGGCGCAGAGCGCGCGTTGCTCCGACAGAGTTGATGATCAGTGTCCGGGATACCTGATGGATGGATAGATGGATGGACGATCGATGGCCTGATCAATCAAAAGCCCCGCGCGGACTCACAGTCAGGACACACACACACGCGCGCGCGCACACACCTGTTTAAAATGAGCGGCTGCTGATATTGTCTGTGTGAGTGGAGTTCAGCGCGCCTCTACTTTCTTCATCCATCCATCACCTCCGGTAAGTCACCTTCCTTTTCCTCCTCCTCTTCTTCTTCTACTTCTGTCTCTTTCCCCCCCTTTATTCCTCTTTCTTCTTCTTTCTCTTATGTTGTCTGGGTTGGTTGAAGGTTATAAAACGGACCGAACAGCAGCAGAGGCTGTAAACCGATTGTTGTTAAACCGAGACTGTCCGTCCGTCCGGTGTCTTTTTGTGTCTGGATCACTTTCTGCCTGCATTTGTCTGTCTTGCTTTTTTAAACATCCGTTTCTTCTCCGTCTGTTTGTCTTTTTAAAGCCTGTCTGTGTTTTCTATTTCTCTGTAGAATTTATAGTAAAACGATATATGTGTAATATGGCTGAACTGTGATCTGATTTAAGCTGATTTTGAGCAGGCTACAATAGTTCTATTTGCTATTCTATATTTTGAAATGTAGGTAAAGGAATAAAGTAAAATGGAAATAATCAATTAAAAAGTACTAATAAAAGTAGTAAAAAATACAAAAATGTCTAATGTGTCTTATGAATTGATTAGTCTATTAAGATGAACCATTGTCTATAGCTGTCACATACGTGTGGTGGACTACAGTACATTTATTACTACACCTTCTGTCCATTCTGCAGTATTTCATTCTTAGTACGTCAGTACATTTTGTTGTTAATACTTAAATACTTTTACTTTGAATGCAGGACTTAACCTGTAATGAAGTATTTCTTATCGTGTATTATTACTACTTTTATTATAATTAAGGATTGTAATTGTGCTTCCACCACTGCATCTGTTTATTTCTAGTTCTAGTCTTTCAATACTTTCTCTCTCTCAGTAATTTTTTTTTGTACTTGTACTACACGTGGAGTTTCTGTGATTTGTTTATTAATAAAATATTTGATTGCCATTAGAAATTATTGTCAACTATTTTCATAATAGGTTAACCTCTTAGGTAATATATCAGGCACACATGGAAAATATGAGATGGTTGTAGGTTCTAAATCTGCTTCTTCTTCTTCTCGCACATGATAGTACATTTAATATTTTTGGGCTTTGGACCATTGATCGGACATAACTATAGACATTTAATGAGGCTCTAGAAAATTGTGATGAGTATTTTTCACTGTTTTCTTTTGTTTCATAAACCAAACGATAAATCAGTAGATTGAAAAAATACCTTGACGATCGATCGACATGTGTTTCTGTCTCTTTTTTAAATTAAATGAACTGCAGTTGGTATAGGGGACAGCAGGTATGACTGACAATCTCTTGTAATTTTCTCCAAATTGAAATGTAAATGTTTCAAAAACAGTTTCTAGACAGCAGAATAAAGGATTGTGGCTGACTGTTTTTTTGCACATGGAACAGAGTTGGTTTGACCTGCAGTCTTTAATTATTTACATCAAAACACTTTAAACTGTAATCAAATATGAAAAAACTTTAACTTATTCCTTTGAAATGAGGGCTGAAGAGGAGAGCAGGCAGACAGACAGACAGTTATTATAATCTTGTATGTGTATTGAACATGCTTCATTATTGTCAGATAATCCCTTACAAAGCCTACATACACACTCACACGCACACACACACACACAATCCGAATCATAACAGTTGTCTCTCTCTCTCTTTCTGTCACAGAGATGTTGTTAATTTTCACATAGGTGACAGTATGACAGTCTGTGTTTGCGTGTGTGCGTGTGTGTGTGTGTGTGTGTGTGTGTGTATGTGTGTGTAGGTGTGTGTGTGTGTGTGTGTGTTGATCAGTCTGATAATGACACCTGATCAGCTGGACTGTAGTGCCCCCTACAGCTCGAACAGAAACAGACCTGAACCCTGATTGTCATCCTAAAACATCTCCTCATTTGCTTTCCTACCTCTACCTTTTCTTTCCTTACCTCCTCCCTTCATTCCCTAAGTCTAAACCTTTCCTCCTTTACCTCCATCTTTTGTTTAATGCCTCCATTTTTACTACTTTTACTTTGTGACCTGGAAACTGATTTCAGTGTTGCCGTCTCCTCCGTCGTCCCATATGAAATGAACAACACCCCCATCTCCTTTCTTTCCTTCCTCCCTAGCAGAGGAATTTCCCCCTCAGTGTGTTTCCTCCTGCCGCTCTTTGTTTGGATGTTTGGACCTTCTGCCTGTGCTTCTCAGGCTTCTGTGAGACTAATTAACACGAATGAACTTAATTAAAATCTTCTGTTTAAGACAGAAGAGGAAAGCTGACAGTCTGAGAAGCAGGAACAGGAGCTCAACGTCCAATCAGAAGACAGAAACACAGAATGTTAGACTATACCAACTAGTCATTACTACAGTAGATAACCCGCTACTGGACCATATTAACTGACTCCTATCTCCACAAAGGGAGACAGAAGGGAAACACAGTGACACAATGTCAGCTGCTGTGTTTACAGGCGAGCCGTCGATGCGGTCATGAATCTCATTTTTGGTCGGCCATTTCCATGTTCCGATCTCCACACATTAAGCGGGAGGGATTGGAAGCAGTGCCCTGATGTCCACTGAATTCTTTTCAAGCATTGCATTGCCTGCAAGGCATCTTAAAGGTGCATATATACTTTCAGGTCGAGGTAGCTCTGAAACGCAGGATATTCTTGCATTTCGCCTTCCAGGGGATAGCATACAAGTACACAGACTGCCGTTCGGCTATGCCCTTGCCCCCCCCACACCTTCAACAGTTGTGTGGACACAGCATTTCAGCTACACAATAGAAGCATAGAAGGTCTTCTTTTATCTCTGAAACCTCATCATCATGGCTAAGTCCATGAATGGTCTATGTTTCACACAGACTGGTTAACCTTACAACTAACCAATTTGGGGTTCACGATCAACTGGAAAGGGGAGCAGGCCCCTACCACACCCAAAGGTGGAGTATCTTTGGGGCCATGCTCGACTCGTGTCGTAGGCTGCGGCTGCAGGCAGTCTGCAACTATATAACGGTATAACAGTGATGTTGTTGACTGTCAAGCAGGCGCTGGGGTTTGAGGCAGCGGCCCATCCGGTGGTACCGCTGGGGCTCCTGCACATGCGGCACTTGGTTACCATTCCCTCCTCCTTGACGGGGTGGGGAGGGTCCGGCCTGGGGAGAGTTGTAGGTGATGTGGGGCCCCGACAGAGGACTGACACATCGGCCTCGAGCTACGGGCAGTGTTCTTGGTCCTTCAACACTTCAGGTACCTGATACTGGGGAGGCACGTGTTGGTAAGGACCTACCACTGCACCGTGGTGGCCTACATCAACAGGCAGGGCGGAGTTCGGTCCGCTGCCCTGTTGAGGATGGCGGAGAGCCGGTGGTTCAGGGCCTCAGAGGACCTGTTGTTGCTGAAGGCTCTCCACATTCCCCGGTCGGTAAAGCTTTTTTTTTGTCAAACGAAGCAACCCCCGCTGCCCGCTATGATTCTCCCTGACACAGCAGGACAATCCAGCCCTGGGGGTGGACGCCTTTGCACATGTGTCATGGTCAAGAAAGCTGCTTTATCCCTTTCCTCCGCTCCATCTCATCCCTCCCCTGTTGGAGAGAGTGACGCGGTAGCAGTTGTCGGTCATTCTGGTGGCCCCAGGTCGCCGCTCGGCATACACGGTATGCACAAATGACAACGACTATGACACCCCAGTCCTGGACCTTTCCCCCTGTCTCAGGAGATGGGTGCAATAGGCGCACTGCCTAATCCCGGACGTTCTTTCCAGGCTTGGCTGAGGAGGGATCTGCAGCATCTACTGTACCCATAGAGTCCAGTAAAGTCACACACAAAGGTTACGATATTGTAACCCTTGTTCTATAAGCGCAGGTTGAGCCCTCTACCAAGGTCACCCTGCTGCCACTACGCCACTCGCTGCAGAAGGCGTGGGATAGTTTACAGCGTTGTGAGCTGCCTTATATACTGTAGTAGGACAGTATGTAGGACATGTATTTTGGTTGGCAAGTCATGTTTGGCCAGCTACCCTAATGCAAATTGGTGCTCGTTATTGGAGGAGAGTTTTACCCATGGAGTCCAGGGCTCCGCCTGTGTTTATTAAACTAGGGTTACAATATCGTAACCTTCGATCGACCATACAAACTGACTCATAGATTTTTTTAACCTGAACTGATTGTGAGTAGCTTTGACACCCTGTTAGTTTGCATTGTCAAGTTGTACAGTGCAGTAAAGGTACATTTATCCTACTGTAACACACTCTCTCTTGTTCTCCTCTACACAAATCAATTTTTACCTATTTATAGAACATGACAACATTACTAAACACTGCGTTTTTGTGTGTTTGTTTGTGTGCCAGGACTCCAGCAGTGGGCAGATTGAGAAGCAGCATGTTGTTACGTCAGGACAGATTAGTTTGAAAACCTGCAGAGAGCACACACACACACA